TTGCCTTCCAATCGGTGGAGTCTCCTTCTGCTCCCTTCCCTCAGATGGGTCATCTAGTCCACTCTCATTCCCTCACTCGAATTGCAGTGTGGGAGGTAAGAAGGACTTGGAATGGGCCCGCCCACCAGGGTTGGAGAGGCTCGTGTTTCCACTCTTTCACATAGACCCAATCCCCAGGAGTGATCCGGTGGGCAGGGACATCAGCAGGTAGGGACTGAAATTGAGCTGCGTACCTGTGGAGAGACATGAGAATGGTTTGGAGGGAAACAACATATCTGGTTAGCTCCTCGTCACCCCATGTAGCTAAGTCGGACACAGGTTCTGGATCAGCAAATCTGGTGTATGGCCTGCCAAATAAAAGTTCAAAGGGTGAGAGACAGAGAAAGCCTCTAGGGGCAGTTTGAACTGCCAAAAGGGCCAGAGGTAGGGCCTGAAGCCATTTCAACCCAGTCTGTGCACACAGTTTTCAGAGTTTAAGTTTTAAAGTTTGGTTCATTTTTTTTACTTGTCCAGACGACGGTGGTCTCCAAGGAGTATGTAAAAGCCAGGTAATACCTAGGGCCTTAGCAATGTGTTGAATAATCTGGGCAATGAAATGAGTCCCTTGATCAGAGTCAATAGACCTAGGAGGGCTAAACCTAGGAATGACATGGTTTAATAAGGTTTTTCCCATTTCCAAGGCAGTTGCTCGTCTAGTTGGGAATGCTTTGGTCCAGCCAGTTATTTGGCACACGATTACAAGAAGGTACTTGAAGCCTTGGCACTTAGGCATCTCTGAATAGTCAATTTGGAGCCGTTCAAAGGGCATGTATGCCCGTAATCTTGCTCCGGGGGGGGGGCATTTTGGTTCCCCCCTTGGATTGAATTTTGCACAAATATTACAGGTAGCAAGGACTTGTTTAGCTTCTGGGAATACCCCAGGTGCATACCAAAGTTTATTTACAGTAGCTGCCATGGCCTCTGCTTCACCATGTGTTTTTTGATGTAGTTTAAGCAGGGCAGGTCGCAGAGCAGCTCGGGGCAGGGCTCTTCTCCCATCAGGTAGTTGCCATTCCCCCTTTTGTGTCTTAGTGGCCCCAATGTTTTCCCAGAGACTAACCTCTGATGGTTCAGGAACAAAAGGGACTGGAGTTGTTGAGGGAGAGGACATGAGCACCATTTGGTTGGCAACAAAAGGTTGAAGGGAGGCTATCTTAGAGGCTGTATCAGCCAATTGGTTCCCATGGATGGTGGGATTGTTTCCCTTTTGATGGGCCCGAACATGGATGATGGCAACTTCAGATGGCAAATGTATGGCTTTCAATAATTCCAGGATCAAGGGCCCATGAGCTACCTTAGTGCCACTGGAGGTAATAAACCCGTATTTTGCCCAAACTTGGCCTGTGGCATGGCAGACACCAAAGGCATATTTCGAGTCAGTATAAATGTTTACAGACTGACCTGCGGCCAACTCACATGCTCGGGTGAAGGCTATTAATTTTGCTGCCTGGGCTGAGGTGGAGGGTCCCAGAGGTGCAGACTGTAATACCTTAAACTGGGTAGTCACTGCAAATTTGGATATCTGTTGGCCCTCCAAGACTCGTGCAGAACCATCTGTGTATAGTTCCAGTTCAGCATTCGGAATGGGCACATCTGAAAGATCTGGTCGGGGTTTTTCTTGATGATGCACTACTTGAAGACAATCATATGAGGGCTCATGATCATTGTCCGGGAAAGGTAACAGGGTGGCAGGGTTCAAGATATGGCATTGCTTAATTTTTAAGTTGGTCCTAGACAACAAAGAAACTTCCAAACGCGTTAGTCTCTGAGAGGTTAAATGTTGAGTTCTTTTTTGGACTAACAGTTGTTGGGCTGCGTGTGGAGTCCGTAGGGTCATTGGATGGCCCAAGGTAATCTTTTCTGCTTGGGGCACCAGGAGACCAGCAGCAACCACTGCTCGGAGGCAGCCAGGAAAGCCTTGTGCTACAGCATCCAATTTTTGAGAATAATAGGCCACAGGTCGCTCTCTAGGCCCAAAAGTCTGAGTAAGGACACCAGAGGCCACCCCTAGCCGCTCATGTACATAGAAAACAAAGGGTTTTCGATAATTAGGGAGTCCAAGGGCTGGGGCTGAGGCCAAAGCTGTTTTAATTCCCTGGAAGGCTTTAACGGCACCAGAGTCCCAGTGGAGGGGTTCCTCAGCATTATGGGTGATCTGCTCAAAAAGGGGTTTTGCCATTTCCCCAAAGCCTGGAATCCAGGAATGGCAAAAACCTGCAAGGCCTAGAAATCCCCGCATTTCACGTTTTGTCTCTGGTCGGGGAATATTAAGGATTGACTGGATACGGGTACTGGATGCCCCGGGGTGAGCACATGACCAAGATAGGTTACCTTGTCTTTGGCAAACTGCAGCTTAGAAGGAGATACTTTATGTCCTTTCTCTGCCAAGCAGTTTAGCAAGTAAATAGTGTCCATTTCGCATGTTACCTGATCCGGAGAGCAAACCAGAACGTCATCCACATACAAGAGATACGTAGACCCTCCCGCTAGGCTAATATCAGCTAAATCGCGTGCCAGGATAGAGGAGAAAATGGTTGGTGACTTAACATATTTTTGCGGTAGTCGAGTCCAGGTCAGCTGTTCTGCTTTCCCGGTCTCTGGATCCGTCCATGTAAATGCGAAAATATTCCAGTTGTCTCGATCTAAGGGAATACTGAAAAAGGCATTACACAAGTCTATTACCGAATAGCAAGCAGTACCTGCTGGAATGGCAGTCAGGATAGTGTGAGGGTTAGGTATCACGTTGTGTCTAGCCTGGACGACTTTATTTACTGCACGCAAGTCCTGGACAAATCGGTATACCGGTTTTCCATCTGAATCCATGTCAGGTTTTCTGACTGTCAGAATGGGGGTGTTGAAAGGAGACTTGGTGCGAACTAGCACTCCCAACCACAGGAATGTTGTGATAAGATTCGGGAGGCCAAGCAGAGCTTCTCGGGGGATGGGATACTGACGAATCCAAGGAATTTTAATGCCTGACTTCAGAGTTATGTATACTGGTTCTGTTCAGAGAGTGCCCAAGTCTGCTTTTGAAGTACCCCATAGGGAGGCTTGTACCTCCTGCCTGAGTCGTTCGGGTAGGATCAGGCCTGTAGGCAGGATCGGGTCCTCTGAAGCCTGGGTTAATGCGGCACATAGCTGAGGAAGTTGCTTTTGAGGCAACCGCAGGATGATTTTGTTATTTGAAAAGAAAATCTGAGCACGCAGTTTACACAACAGATCTCTGCCCAAGAAATTAACTGGAGAGTCAGGAGCTAGCAAAAAGGCATGGAAGGCGGAGACCCCAGAGATTTCTACAGTAGCCTCCTGTAATACAGGACAGTCAAATGGCTTTCCGCCTATACCCATTACCGGAATGCTCTTATCTGTGAGACTTCCTCTTTTTGGCTTGGCAGTAAGAGTAGAAAGGGCAGCCCCTGAATCCAAAAGACAAGAATAAGCGGTTCCTCCCAAAGTTAGGCGAACCTGGGGGTCTGTGGAGGAACAAACATAGGTGGTAAAGTCATTGGAATAGGTAACAAGAGGACCCCTGGGTCGCCGTCATTCCTCACTATTAACAGCGTCTGTTCTCTCCACAGCCATCTGTTGCTGAGGTCGGTCTGGGCGACGGGGCTGGCGTCCGGTACATTGGTTTGGACACTTTCTCTTTCAGTGACCAAGCTGCTTACAGTAGTTACACATATCATTGGCGCGACTCGGGGCCCCCCCGTGATATGTTTTTGGTTGCCACTTGGGGTGTCCCCGCCACCCTTCTTGCTTCTCATTTTTTTGTGTTTATAAGGGCCGCTAGCATCCTCACCTGTTTGGTTTCCTGAACTTTTTTCTTGTATGATATACACGGGTGGCCATGCTTACCAGTTCTTCCAGGGATTTTCCCTCAGCACCTTCGAGTTGCTGCAATCGCTTCTTAATGTCCGGAGCTGACTGAGAGATAAAAATAAGCCTGACCATGGACTGTGTGTCCGTAGCCTTGGGGTCTATGTTAGTATAGGTACAAAATGCTTTACAAAGCCTCTCATGGAAATCGGAAGGGTGCTCCTCTTTCCCTTGCACCGTATTATGGACCTTTGACTAATCTAGAGTTTTTTCTCCTGCTTGTTTTATACCTGTCAAAATATAGTTTAGGAATCTCTTTAGATCTGCCTGGTGGGTTAAATCATTCGGGTTCCATTGGGCTGGGTTGGCGAGAGTTATAAAGTCGCGGCCCTTGTTGGCGGCTTCTGCAGCCCCCCGGACCCCGCTTAGGACCCGCTCCTTCTCCTCCGTGCGCAATAGGCAATTTAAAAGCTGGCCCACGTCTTGCCAATCAGGATTATGAGACTGGAAAATAGCACGGAATCGCCTATGAACGACATCCGGGTCGTCCCTAAGGCGGGGTGTAGTGGTTTGCCAGTTCATAAGGTCTGCAGTGGTAAATGGGACATGGACATAACGGTCTATGACATTCCCATCCATTGTGGGAACTGGGATAGTCCGGAGGGGTGCCTGTATATTAACCACGTCTTCCCCGTAGTGCGCCCTTTTTCTCGTATGGGACAGACTAAGGAAGGGAACAGACAGGGAAGTAGTAGCATACCCACTGCTGGTTGCCCCACTAGTTGATTCACTGGCTTGACTTGTAGTGTCCTCAATTTTTGTTGGCGGCATCTGTCTCGGTACAAATGCTGTTTTGGGCTCCGGGTCCGCCGCAGCTGGTAATGGTGCCTCCAGGAGTGGTCGTGGTCTGGGACAATATATGGGGGGGGGGGTCCTCCCAACAATCGGCTTTGTGAGGGGCAGAAGCTTTCAGGAATAGAGGCGCCTGAATTTGTACCTTCTTTAAGCGACGATGAGCCTCATCGTCCCACAAAAACCAATAGTCCACTTGCCCCGTCGCCTGGTTTTCCAAAGTTAGGCGCAAGGGAGTTAAATAGGTCGGAATATCAAAGGAGCCGTATTTGCGTCATTCAGTACCCAGTACTGGCCATTCCTGGGTACAAAGTTGTATAAAGCGCTTCCTTGACATTCCTTTCTGAACACCGGGTAAAGGCCATTTACTTAACATATAATCCAAAGGGCTATCCTTAGAGGGTTTTTCTTGAGACACACCCATCTTTTCTTTTGACACTCAGACAGAGAACAGAGGGAATTATGGTCTAATCCAGAATTTTATTACAGGAATTTTTAGTTACACTGACCGCTATAGGGGACGGGACAGAAGGATCTCGATTCGACCTCAGAGCTTCATCGCACGCTATGGCTTCCACCCTGAGGAATTACGAACGAGAGGCTCAGTTCCGCCCCACACCTAACACCCAAGTGTACAAGACAGAAATTCATTAACCGGTTAACCAGAACAGAACCAGAACCAGAGTCAGATAGTGTTTTTTTATCCTATGAGGGCTCACCTTATCAGAGCACGAACCCCAGGGGCCGCAGTGAAGCAGAGAAAGAGGGGTTAAACACTCCGTTGGCGCCGTTCCCAGTTTGCCGCAGCCGGCCAGAGTCCAATGTCCGAGCTAGGAGGGTCCCATCTGGGGTGCCAGAAACTGTTATCGAAATATCGGGTCCGCCTAGCTGAGAGCCAATAGCAGCCGGACAGGGATCAGGAAGAGATTGCTTTATTCTGCATGTTACCGAAATATCGGGTCCACCTAGCTGAGAGCCAATAACAGCCAGACAGGGATAAGGAAGAGTAGCTTTATTCTGCAGAAGAAAGGAGAGCTTTGCACCTTGGTACAAAAACTTTGTTTTACACACATTTTACAGATCCTTTATACATATTCAGACAAAGGTCCTTGCAGTGTTAACACTTGATTGGTGGTGGTCAGACCCGTGCTTTTGCTATCTGGTCAGTGAAAACTGGCTTGGGACCAGCTCCAACTACCTTAAGGCCTTGAAGGGAAAACAGTTCAAAAGTTCAGGCTACAAACCTGGAAATCCTGGACGCCCCATCATCTCAGGCATTGGCACCCTAACATCAGGCTTGTCTGGTTATGTGGACTCTCTCCTCAGACCCTACG